GACCTGTCTGTTTAACCTTGTTGCTGCTCTGGGTTCTATTTCTCCATTTTAAATCCTGACAATGTGTATGTGCCATGGTTACTCATGCATATGCTTTATTTCCCTCACTGCAAGAATCACATTCTTCAATTTACTCACTCATATTCAAGAGGGAGCCCAGGAACTCTTCAAGAGAGAAAGAACCCCCAGATCTCTCTGCTCTGGAGAGCCTCCACTGGCCTCTATTACAGCACTGGTAGGAATGAAGAGGCAATACTTGAAGTTTAGGTTGGTTCTCATTTAGCAATCTAGCCCTTACCAACTCAATCTAACTTATACCAAAACTATTTTATTAAGTTCATTAATTCCACAGACATTTTTGGATCCCATTTTTCATTCTTACCCAACGACTAAGAACTTTTCTCTCATAATCTTTAGATCTAATGCTCAATCACCAGCAAGTCTCCTATTCTCAGTTTCTCCCTCAAACTGCTTGTACTTTTGTGCTCCAACTCAACTCCACTTGGCTGGCAACCTCTTACCGCCACCTCAGATGATAGCATTCTTTAGCCCAGTCTCAGTGGGCTTAGGGCTGGGGGGCTTCCTTCTGATCCCATACCTTTTATTTGCCTTCTCTAAAACAACCCGTTTTGAACAGCCCATATCACTGGTTCTCACTTCCATTTTTGCCTCCTCCATCTAAGGTGTATGTAGCAATATCTGAAGTCACTTTGGAATACTGAAGGAGTATCTGATGGCAATTAACAACAAGGCAGAAGCCAGGATGTTGTTAAATCAGGGTAACCCTAAAAAAATAGAGATAGATAAATAAATAAGGCCCCAAATTAAAAATAAAAAAAAGTGTGTGTGTGTCCAAATGCCATTAGTGCTAAAGTTGAGAAATCCTAGTCTTTGCTGCTCACATACACCTCCAACAGACAGTCTTTTCTCTGGCACCATTACCTTTTCTCTTGATCATTTCCACTGGTAAACAACTATGTTACATTATCTCCCTTTAAAAAATCCTGATTTCATACCTCTTTCAGCAATCACCCCCTTTTCTGTCTTTTAACTGGTCTCATTTCTTCCCTTGGGTCCTCAAAAATCTCTTTTCAATATGGCAGTTAGTGACATTCTTAAAATGTACACTAGGTTTAAATTACCATATATACTTGAGTATAAGCCGACCCGAATATCAGTTGATGCACCTAATTTTACCACAAAAGCTGCATTAAAAATGTGCTGAAAAACTCACCTTATACACAAGTATAAATGGTATTTGCTCAAAACTGTATATGGCTTCCCATTTCCCTTAAATTAAAAGCCAATGTGCTGACAATGGGCCTTCAATATCCTTTACCATCTTGCTTCCCATGCGTTCTTTATAAAGCAAAACTCCTTCAGGGTTGTCCTTTATTGCTCTCCGTCCCTTCTCTCTTATATCCTCTTTAGTGTTTTGTCTGTATACTATGGAAACTGCTTTCGTAAAGTCATTAATCATCTCTATATTGTCACATGCAATCATGTCTCATCCTCAGTATTTCTCCTTGTTCATCCCTCTTTCCTATTTGACAGTTAATTCCCTGGTTTCTATAGTTGCCATACTTCACTAGTTGCTTTATCCTATACACTGCTGTTCCCTACTCATTTCCCGGCCCTCTAAATTTTGAAAAGCTTGATGGTTCAGTTTTTGGAACCCTTTTCTATTGTTTTGGTGATCTCATGCTGTTTCTTGGTTTTAATACTACCATATGTATATGGACCATCTAGAAATTTATTTCTCTAGCCTAGCCTTTCTCTTCAACTCCCTACACGTAACTACCTACTCAATATATCCAGTTGGATATCTTAATAGGTATCTCACACTCACCATGCCCAGTACTAAACAGCTGATTTTCCTCTAGAACCCACTTTCTTCCATACCTTCTCCATCCCAATAAATAATTACATCTTTCCATTAGCAAAAGCAAAACCCTGAATGGCTCTTTTGCTTATATCCCAAATCTAATACATCAGCAAATCCTATGCCTGCATTTAAAGGATAATCACATCCTGGAGCAAGCCATCATGTGTTGCTATAATAATTCCCACAACCTTTTAACTAGCCTTGTTTCTTCCCTTGGCTCACCAAATCTCCTTTCAATATAGTAGTCAGAGTGATATTTGAAAATATGTTGGATTTTAATTCTTTGCTCAAAACTGCGTATGGCTTCCCAGTTCCCTTAAATTAGAAGCCATTGTGTTGCCAACGGATCTTCAATGTGCTATACTAGCTTACTTCCCATGCTCTCTTAAGCCTCTCTTCCTGCTAGTCTTTCCCTGCCTTCACTTTGCTTTAGCCACATCAGCTGCCCTGCCACCTTTCAAATCTATCAGGTACCATTCTGCCTTGTATTTTTGACATGATTATTTTCTGCCCATGATGACTCATGGCGATCCCATGTATTGTTAGTACAGAACTGTGCTCTGTAGGGTTTTCAGTGGCTGATTTGGGGGAAATAGATTGCCAGGCCTTTCTTCCAAGCATCTCAGAGTGACTCTAAAACGCCAAGCTTTCAGTTGGCAGCTGAGTGCATTAATTGTTTACATCATGCATGGACTCTATTTCTCCAATACAGCTACATAATCACTATGTCACCTTGTTTAGATCTTTCCTCAAGTCACCTTATTAGTGACGTCTTTTATACCAAAGGTGATCTAGCTCACCATTCTCACATTATTTTCTACCTTCTAATATACTGTATTTTATTTACCCTCTGTCTTTCCTACTAGATTGTAAGCTCCTGAAAGAGAAATATTTTAAAGTTTGGATTATTCCTAAAACCAGTGTCTAGAACAGTGCTTGTCAAAAAGTTGGAACTCAAATACTAGTTGAACTTTGTTTCTCTTCTCTAGCCTCTTGTGTGGGAAAAAGAAAAGCTATTCCCCAGGTTGTCCCCCCATAATATATGCCAAACCATAGTCACTGACTAACACACTTGGAGGTCAACTGCTTAAAGGTTATCTGTCTGAAGGTTGACAGTCATCTAAGGCAGTGGTTCTCAACCTTCTTAAGGCCTCGACCCTTTAATGCAGTTCCTCATGTAGTGGTGACCCCCACCCACCCCACCCCCCCGCCCCGCAACCATAAATTATTTTCATTGCTACTTCATATCTGTAATTTTGCTACTGTTACGAATCGGTGACCCCTGTGAAAATGACATTCGAGCCCCAAAGGGGTTGCAACCCACAGGTTGAGAACCGCTGATCTAAGGCCTTAGGCCCTATTGTCTGATAAAGATAATGGATTGATCCCCTGAAGGAGAACAAAAAGACACCTAAGGTCAAGTCAACTCAGGGACGACCAAGGTTAGGCTTCCATCTTGACTCTGGAGCCTGCCTATCTTGTTATGTGTATGCCTTCCTGTATATGCCTGTGTATGCCTGCTGTATAAACCCTTCCTGTAACATATGTGGTTACCTGTAATTAGGGGGACTGGCATGCCCCTGGAGTGTATATAAACCTTGGTTGGAAATATATTCTCTCTCTGTGTGCAGATCTGGCTCCTGAAGTCATGATGATCCCAGAGGCGAGCACTTGCATGCTTTATCTTGTCTGATGTCTCTTTAATTTTACCCCTCAATTACACAACTGCCCTTGGACCCATTCGATTGTGGGGGCTGGCACCCCACACTCTTCCTTGATCTCCTACTTTTATACTCTGCTACTCATAGGCCTAATTCAGTAACTGGTCTCTTGATTCATCTTGGTGTCTCTCCTGATTGGAGTTGAATACTATGTATTTTTTCCTAGACCTTCATCCTAGAATCAAAATATAAGACCCTAAGATAAGGAAGTATGTCACAACAACTGCTAATTTCTAGGAGTAACAAATTTTACTAAATATTTTAGGGTAAACATAACCTGAGTTTTAAAGAAGTATTATGAAACCTTCTATTATATGTCTTTCCTTTGTATGTATTTCAGAGGTTTAGCAATTATAATACATAATCCCTAGTGGCCCGCACTAAGGGTTAGAAAACTAGACTACTAGTCTAGACAGAGCCAATGATTTGAGTCCAGATCATTAACTTGTCTCTTGAGTTTTTCTATTATCAAATGGGGCTTGTTCTGGTCCTAATAAACAGGGCTTTACAAAAGAGTAACTTATGTAAAGATTTCATCGCCTTTGAAGACTGGAGAAGCCCTGGTGGCATAGTGGTTATACTTTAGGTTGCTAACTGCAAGGTCAGCAGTTTGAAATAACCAGTTACTCCCTGGGAGCAAGACCTGGCCTTTTCACTCCCGTAAAATATTATAGTCTCGAAAAGTCCCAGGGGCAGCTCTTCTCTGATCCACAGGGTCACTATGAGTCGGAATCAACTTGAGGACAGCGAGTTTGATTTTTGAAGATTGGGGCTGTGTTATAGTATTGGTGCATGTTACATTCTCTACACTATCAACACTGAATAAATGAATATATGCAGATGTAAACACAAACTTTTGCTGTAAGGATAAAATTAGATCATTCAAAGAAAATAAAAACATGATATAAAATAGGGAAAAAACAAAACACTAGGCAAGTGTTTGTAGACAATTCAAGTTTGTAGATAACTTCTATTATCTTTTAATTCCATTTCTCATGAACTTTTTGACATCCCTTCAGATTTACTTTTACTATGAGACTTAGTTGATTCCCAAAGAAGGATAAAAGTTATAGCTTCTTCCCCAGGGAAGGAACATTTACTTAGTGATAATGAAAAATTAAGAAAAACAAAAAAAGAGGTACTTGTATTTTCTATTCCCCACCCCCAATCATTGCCAGTAATAACCAATGAATTACCCTATCACTTAAAGATCATATATTTAGAACACTGAGCTTCAGTGCTTTACTATTCCTTAGCATCTACGTTCAGTGATAGCAAATTCCCATCACTTTTTGTTATTTCTCAATTCTCATATTGGTTTTTCTATAGTCATGTTAATTCTAAATGTGCAGTTACTGTATTTCAGTAAATAAGTGCTATATTTAACTTCTTACCAGAACATCATGCACCAAAGCTTGATATGTCCAAGTATGGTGTAAAGGTGTTGCCAAATCTATATTTCTGTCAACAAGGACTAATAAAGGCCTTTGGAAGCTGTAAACATATTTAGAAATACATATATATAATTGCTGATAGCAGGATAAACATAAAAAATTACCTAATACTTTCTAGTATATGTCAATTTTTATCTGAACAATATTTATGCTAACATTGAAAAATTCCACAATACTTTGTTTTACAGAAAAAAATTCTAGTTCAGTGAAGAAATGCTTGAGACTACATATAGCCTGTGTGTAATGCTAGATTTTACCAAAAGAGCTTTCCTAGAAAAAGAAATGTTAAAAAATATGTTTGCAGAATTAAAATAAGAGTTAAGCTGTGTCTACTCAGAGATACAGTACAGTGAACCCTCGCCACTTCGCGCTTCGACTTCCGCGGCTTCACTCTACCACGGTTTCTGCGTAACAGCGCATGCTCTGTCATTACTGCCACTGATTGGCTCATACTGTACAAGCTTGATGCCATAAATAATATAATAAATAATAAATGATCATTGTAACGTCCAAAATGTTTTACTGTATTTTCCCTTTTTCGTTTAAT